ATGGCATTGAGAATTACATTTGCACCAACTTTGAAAAAAATTGGACAGAGCATATCAAAGTTATAAGAGGTAAAAGACGGACGAACGGACGGAACCCAATCTATAAGCCTTCGGCAGACTTCGTCTGCGAAGGCTAAAAATGTTTCAACTTCTAATTTACATGTAGGTATTTTAAAATAAGTATGTACAATTTAATTCAGTTTCATAATGAGCAAAAGATGTCAATCACTCGAAATTCTGACACAAATCTAGAACTGCCAAGATGCGATTTGTGTGTAGTACTATTAATATTTTCAACAATTGTCTGAATAGTGAAAAGAATGCAAAGTGGTGATTACACAATTATCTAAATCATATTGAGAATGTTTGGCATTGTACAGTACAACGTGTTTGGCTGAATTACAATTTGAGGACAAAAAAAAGAGGGAGAAAATATCAAAACAAAACAAATCAAAGAAAGCTTAGAAAGAACTCCAGTGTGCTGAGAGTATTGAAGACACATTAAAAATTAATTCAAAATTAAATGTACAAGAAATATTGATGGAAAAACTGAAAACTAATTATATAAACCAGGTAACTAATATGAACAGAACAGAACAAAAACATTATGAATTATTATGCTAACTAGAGAATTAATATGAACAAATTTTAACCCAAAATCAATCACGCCTGTCTATTGTCCTAGAGCATTTATGTACCAAATTTAATTCAAATGTGATGATCAGTAATTGAAATATCAGTGTTAATTAATTATGTTAATTAGGTGATTAATAAGCATAAATATTTACCAAAAACTAATTGGGTCTCTGCATAGTTCTCTTCAAAGTTTCATTAAAATCTTAAGTACCAAGTGTCATTGAAATGTGATGATTACTACTTGAAATATCAAAAGCTGAAAATTAATTAATTATGCAAAATAGGTAATTAATATGTACTCACATTACTCTAAAAACTATCAGGTCTGTAGTGTCCTATGACATCTATGTACCAAATTTCATTGAAATGTGATGATTACTACTTGAAATATCAAAAGCTGAAAATTAATTAATTATGCACATTAGGTAATTAATATGTACTCATATTACCCTAAAAACTATCAGGTTTGTGCAGTGTCCTATGATATCTATGTACCAAGTTTCATTGAAATGTGATGATTACTACTTGAA